TATAAATACCCTCAACTACCAATAATGAAGGTAATTAATCTCTACACTTCTCTCTCTGCAGTTACTCCTTGAGAGTATATCTCTAGAATATCGAGTATTGCTAACTTGAGCGTTGGAGTGTTTTTCTCGAGGAAACATCCTCGGGATTTTCAGGTGCATAAGCAGCTGAGGACTTCAACAGTGTTGGACTACGAAGCTGCCCAAACATTTGGCGCCATCTGTGGGAAACCGAACAAGAAGCTGTGTAGTTTAACCGGCAGAAAGACAAAATGGTCCGTACCTTTACTGGAATTCGCCCTCCAAGAGATGAAATGGACGAACAGGAGGATGCTCAACTATCTGAGCCTGGCTTGAATGACTTTAGGCCAATGCCAAGAAACCTTTTCGTCGGGGGAGTAGAACAAGATCACCTAAGTGAAACGGATGATGAAAGAACACCAACTGGGTATGCAACCCAGCCTGAACAGTTCTAAGTTCTAACAGGAACAAGACAAAGACATTCTAGACCATACAATTCACAGCATGAATGACCTGAAAGGTCAACAGAGCCTGCTCGAACGACCGAGCTCGAAGATAGAACCAGAGTTCTCGAAATGGCAATGGGTAAAATCCTTGCCCGTCTGATTCCTGATGACCCCCTGATTCCTTTGTTGAACAAGGATACACAACCAGTTGCGGTTGTTGCAACTCGAAACTCTCCCGTTCTAAGCAACATAGTAGTGCCGACTAGGCCAAGGAGAAGTGGGAAGCTAAATAATGAGCCCAACTCGTCCAAACATAGTGAAGAACTGTTGAGGAAAAATGCAGACCTTGAAAGGCAGCTAAGGGACGTACAAAAATCTATTGACAAGCTGAAAAGTCCCAGGTCGCACCAACAGACTCTTGATTTGGATAGTGCTCCTTTAAACCTATCCATCACAGTAGAGCCATATCAAGAGGGATTCAAAATTCCTCACCTGGAGACGTATGATGGCTCGAGCGACTCAGATGAGCATCTGCACACTTATCAAGCCATCATGAGAATCCAAAATGCCAATGATGCCATGATGTGCAAAGTGTTCCCAGCGACACTGAAGTCAACAGCCAGGAGATGGTATCACAAACTCCCCAGACATTCTATAGACTCATACTCCCAGCTCGCTAAGCTGTTTTCCAACAAATTCGCAAGCCAAAGGGAGATCAAACGCACTACGACCGAGCTGATGCAAGTTCATCAGAAAGAAGGGGAATCTTTGAGGGACTACATGCAGCGATTTAACAAAGCCACTTTAGACATCGACAACGTCCCTGATACCATCTGCTTGTCGGCCTTGCTGCATGGTTTGAAGTGTGGTCGGTTCCTAGACGACCTGCTAGAAAACCCACCGAAGACGTGGAACGAAGTGAATGACAGGTCGGCTAGTTTCATACTGTTTGAAGACTTCCAATCGTCCAAGCGACGAGCTGACGATAAGCAGACCAAAGGCCAGGAGCAGCCATCGAGGAGAGAAGAAAAGAAAAAGAAAAACGTCAACGAGCAGTGGGGGAAGCCCGTTGACTTCCCAAAGTATGCCAACTACATTCCTTTGACCTTGCCTAGGTCTCAAATCTTGGCACAAATCCAACACTGGGTTAGGAGACCCCTACCTCCATTGCATGATTCACTAAGGGCCGACAAGAGCAAGCATTGTGACTACCATCGTGTATACGGTCACAATACAGAGGATTGTCAACACTTAAAGGACGAGTTGGAGTTTTTGGCTCGCAATGGGAAGCTAGAAGGATATGTTCAGAAGCTCCACACCCAACAACCTACTCAAGCTCATTTTGTACAGGGGTATGACAGACCTCAGGGGGAGAGGTACCAGCTCAGGGGCGCACAGGATGCGTATTGGGATAACTAGTATCCTTCTGAGCAAGGTAGGACATACAGGGGGCGCCAATTCAACAGGCGAGGCCAAGGATAGAGAACTACCACCCAGAACCAAAAAGACAGGAAAGGGGTGGGTTATGCTGGGATCCCCCCACCCTTAAGCACAATCAATAAGATCTCAGGTGGTATGCACTCTGGAGGCCAAAGTGCCCGAGGTCGCAAGGCATATGCTCGCTAGGTGATGACTGTTAATAACATAGGCCCTTGAAGCGCCCGTTTGAAGAAGCAAAATGGGAGAGTACACCTATCACATTCAGCCCAGCAGATTACAGGCGAGTAGAAGGAGAGCCCAACGTTATGATGCCACATGCAGATCCTTTTGTGGCAACGGTTCATATAGGCAACCATAACGTCAACAAGGTTTTTATTGATACTGGTAGCTCGCCGGATATCCTGTACTGGAGTTGCTTTCAGAAAATGCAGCTGAATCCGAGCTCATTGCAGAAACACGAAGGGCCTATATATGGGTTTGATAATCAGCCCGTCCCGGTTGAAGGAGTCATTACCCTTCCCATTTATGTGGGTTTGGAACCACGATTCAGGATGGCTTCCGTTACCTTCCTAGTCGTCAAAATGGAGTCAGCTTTCAACGCTATATTGGGAAGAGCCACTCTTTGCGAGCCGAAGGCTGTCATCTCGCAACCTCATCTTTGCATGAAATTCCCAACTCCTCAGGGAGTAGGAGTGCTTAAAGGGAATCAGAAGATGGCCAGAGCCTACTACCAAGATACCTTCAAAAAGGTTGAGCTTGCTGCTACCCCTGCAGGTTCTGAGAATCATAAGTCAACCCAGCCCGGTCAGCAGACAATGAGCATATCGGACATTGAGCATCGACCTGAGGGTGTCGAGCAGAAAGCAGAGCCGGTAGAGCCAGTACAAATAGTTCCTTTAAACCCCGATGTGCTGGAAATGACAGTCAAGATAAACACCAAGCTCACAGAAGAAGAGCGAGCAGAGCTTCTGGATTTTTTAAGGGTTAATCAGGATGTGTTTGCGTGGACTATGGATGAAATGCCTAGCATCCCAGCGGAGTTGACAATTCACAAGCTCAGCACGGACCCCACCAAAAAGCCGGTGGTTCAGAAACGTCGCCTTTTTGGCCCTCAGAAGCAGGCTGCCATAGACGAAGAGATATAAAAGCTGCTACAGGCAAGCTTCATCAGAAGAGTGGAGTACTCTGAGTGGGTATCTAACCCCGTGCTTGTAAAAAAGCCAAATGGCAAGTGGAGGATGTGTATTGACTTCACCAAATGAGGCGTGTCCAAAATACCCTCATCCCTTGCCAAATGTCGAGAAGCTAGTAGAGCGAGCAGCCGGACACAAATAGATGAGCTTTCTTGATGCTAGTTCGGGTTACCACCAGGTTCAGCTGTTGTTGGACGACCAGGAGAAAACAGCTTTTTACGCTGGTGACGCAATCTACTGCTACGTGATGATGTCGTTTGGCCTGAAAAATGTTGGTGCAACATATCAGAAACTGGTGCAAATCATCTTTAAGCTCCAGATCGACAGAAACATAGAAGTATATGTGGACGACATGATAGTCACCAGTGTACGAGCTGAAGATCACATAGGCGACCTGAGTGAGACCTTTCAAAACTTGCGTTGAGCCCAAATGAAGCTAAATCCCCTGAAATGCACATTTGCTGTAGAGTCAGGAAAATTCCTAGGGTACGTGGTATCCAAGAAAGGAATTGAAGTAAATCCAGAGAAGGTTCAGGCCGTTCAGCAGATGGAGCCGCCCAAGACTGTCAAAGATGTGCAGCATTTGACGGGCCGTGTCGTTGCACTACATAGATTCATAGCCAGGTCGGCAGAAAGATGCCTCCCGTTCTTCAAAGCCCTACGAGAGCCCAAGAACTTTCAATGGACAGATGAGTGTCAGCGGGCATTTGACGAGCTCAAACAATATCTTACATCAGCACCCCTGCTATCCAAGCCTATGCAAGGAGAAAGTTTATACCTGTATCTAGGGGTTACGGAGGAGGCGGTGAACTCGGTCCTACTTAGGGAAGAGAATAGAAATCAGAAGTCCATCTGCTACGTGAGCAAGGTTTTACAAGGCGCCGAGCAGAACTACCCACTAGCAGAAAAGGCTGCTTTTGCTTTGGTATACACGGCTCGAAAATTGAGAGCTTACTTTCAGTCACATTAGATCGTTGTTTATACTGATTTGCCATTGAGAAAGATACTGCAGAAGCCGGAACTCTCTAGTCGGCTTATCAGGTGGAGAGTCAAGCTGAGTGAGTATGACCTCAAATTTCAACCGCGCACAACCATAAAGGGCCAGGCTGTGGTAGACTTCTTGGTGGAGTGTATCTCAGCAACTGTGGAAGAAAAGGCACCCGAACACCCAGTCTGGGTTTTGTATGTTGATGGAGCTGTTAACGTGGAAGGATCGGGTGCTGGGGCTGTGTTAGTGGGCCCGGATGGATTTAAATCCGAGCATGCATTACGATTTAAATTTCAAACCACTAACAATGCTGGAGAATACAAAGCCCTCATTTATGGATTCAAGCTGGCGTCTGAGCTGAAGGTACAGAGCATTCAGGTTTTTAGTGACTCTCAACTCGTGGTGGCCCAGGTAAATGGCAGCTGTGAAATCAGGGATCCTCAGCTTGGCCGTTATGCTTCTGTGGTCAACAAATTGAAGTCAGGATTTGTCTCCTTCCAGATCGACAAAATACCAAGAGCAGGTAACCACCGAGCTGATGAGCTGTCAAAGTTGGCCTCTTCGTAGAACCTTAACCCTCAGAGATTAACAATTGTCGAAGTGCTAGACACCCCAAGCTACACCAATTCCACAATCGAGTGTCAGCTACTAAGCATAGATCCCTCTTCACCGAGCTGGACTGTCCCGCTCATTAATTATTTGAGAAGTGGCGAGCTACCTGAAGATCCGTTCGTTGCAAAGTTGGTTAGACGCACGGCGGCGCATTTCACTTTGGTAGATAATCAGCTCTACAAGCGAGCAGCCTCAATGCCCCTATTACGCTGCTTTACTCCTTATGAAGCTGAATACACCGTGAGGGAAGTCTATGAAGGAGTATGCGACACGCACATAGGTGGCAAGACTTTAGCTTGGAAACTCCAAAGGCATGGGTATTACTGGCCAACTATGGTTGAGGATGCGTAGAACTATGTCAAAAAGTGCCCGACCTGCCAGTTCAACGCTGATGACATTCACATGCCAAGAGAAATGCTCTCATCACTTTCCTCTCCCTGGCTTTTCGCTTAATGGGGAGTCGACCTGCTCGGCCCTTTTGTGAAAGGCAAAGGAGGTTGCACATACCTAATTGTCGCAGTGGATTGCTTCACCAAATGGATAGAAGCTAAACCATTGTCCACGACAACAGAGAAGAAAATAGAAGAATTCTTGTTCAATTTAATATTGTGCAGGTTTGGCATACCTAAGAGGATCATTGCTGACAATGGTTCGTAGTTCCGAGCCACGGCACTGAGGTCGTTCTGCAACGACTATCATTGAGCTCGCCTTGACGTCTGTGTATACTCCACAGTCAAACGGACAGGCTGAGTCCGCTAATAAAATTGTTTTGCGAGGCCTCAAGGCGTGTGTTTTAGCTTCGCATTCTAATTGGGTTGATGAGCTCAATAAAGTGCTTTGGTCATACCGCACTACGCCCAGCTCGGCAACAGGCGAAACCCCATTCAGCCTGGCGTATGGAGCTGAGGCTGTCATCCTTGTTGAGGTCAGGCTGCCATTTGATAGATCAGATCGCCATGACGAGCTTAATAATGAGTAACTTTTAAGAGAGAACCTAGACCTAGTGGAGGAAGTCAGGGAGATGTCTTGCATAAGAAACATGGCGCACCAGAGTCGTGTTGTAAAATTTTATAATAAAAGAGTTCGAGCTCGACAGTTTTAGGTCGGCGATCTGGTTCTACGCAAAGCTGAATTAACCAATGTTTATTTGCACATGGGCAAGCTCGCTCCTAATTGGGAAGGGCTTTATATGGTTATTTCTATTCAGTGACTTGGGTCTTACCAGTTGGTAGATTTACAAGGTCGTCCAGTACCATTTATTTGGAACATACATAATCTTAGAAAGTTTATAGTTAACATTTATGTAAACAGTGATTTACAGAACATTCAATATAGAAATTTCCAAAGAAAAGTTTCAAAATTGTATTTCATCAATGAGTTTTTACATGCGAAGTACATATGGTAAATGAGTTGATTGATTAACCCAAAAATACAAAAAGAAATACAAAAGAAAGAGTAGAAAATCCTAAGCTAGTCGTCCGTCAGGTCGACGGGGATAGATGCGTCGTTGGGCGCAGAAGCAGACCGAGCCGGAGATGACCGATCTGGAGGAGATAGAGCAGGAGCAGCGGCCTGGGCAGGCTGAGGCTAAGCAGATGGGGGAGTGCTTGAAGGCTCAGCACGCACATCATGGGGGTCTGCCACCCAAGCATCAAAGCTTGGCAACCCCTCCGTGTCCTCCCCCTCTTCAATGATAGAGGGGGGCCATATAGGTAGCCCCTCCTCATTGAGCTCCCATTTCAACCTTACCCTGGTGTCAGCTGAAGGGGCGAGGCTTTTCCCTTCATTGTCAATCTCCTCGCCCTCGAAGAAGGCCAGCTCACCGATGGGAAAGTCAGCCCGGACTCCCAGCACCTTTCCACGAACTTCATTGAAAATGTCCGTGGTGGTGTTGGCGAAAGCCACTACTACGGCGTCCTGAAACATCTCTGCCCCCACCAGCCACTCAGCCTCTTATGCGTGGGCAAAGCAGACGTCGCACTGGTGAAGCCTCTTAGTACTCTCCAGGGACGCCTCAGCTCGGGCGACATGCTGGTCGGCTTGCGACACCCTCTCCCTCAGGGCGCTCAGCTCGTGTAGAGTCTTCTCTTTTTCAGATTCTGCCTTCCTAGCTCGTTCCTCTGCAAGCCCGAGCTCCTCCTTAGCAGCCTGGATGCCGGTGTCCTTCTCCACTTGAGCTCGTTGGAACTCCTCCTTCAGCTCATCTACCTTACGGGCCAACTCGTCAGCTCGGCTCTCTGCTGACGCTGCTCGGTTGGCCATCTCCGAGCTCTGAAAACGATTGACCTCGTCAATCAAACTGGCTTTTTTAAAGGGCAGTTGTTTGCAGCTCTGTTGGAGCTCGTTGTTTTGCGCCCTGGTTCCCTACTCGCACTGGAAGAGCACGACAGTGTAGCTAAACGCCTGTCGTAGACATACACACATTAGTTACTAGCACAAAATAATAAGACACAACAATGAGCTCGGCGAGTATACTTACATCCATCAGCTTGATTAAGGCAGCATGTCTCCCATGCTGCTGAATGTGCCCCTTTGCGCGCAGCCGTTCTGCAGGAGGCACAAAGTTATGCATACCCTGCAGCATAGCAGTCTGGCACTCAGTCCGGACGTAACTGAAGCCGTCCGGGTATGCAATCCTCGGCCCCGCCACAGACGACGAGGCTGGTGCGGCCTCAGTAACCTCGCGAACCGACGCTTGGGGCACGTTGGCAAGTCGCGCAGCAGCGACTGGGGCGGGCTGCGAGCCGGTGCTCGTCCTTCGCTGGATGAGTGGAACGTCATCCTCTGCGTCAAACTCCTCCCTTGCACGCCTTCTGGAGTTAGAGGGCGTAAGCTCAACTCTTTGCTCGGCACGTGGCCTCTGCACCAAGCTGGAACTCCGGTGCTGTGAGCTGCGCCCCGGTGCAGCAGGTGGCCGCTCGTCAAAACGGGACTGACGCTGGGAGCCGGACCTAGCTCCCCTACCCCAGCTCCCGACCCCAGCTCCTGGCCCCGTGAGCCTTGTGCTTTCTGGCGCTGCCTCTCCAGAATGCTGCTCATTTCTCCTGCACAAATAAAAGCATAAGATTCATGTCAGCTAGAAATCTTGCTATGTTATAGAAATATACCTTCCCCGTGAAGGTTTGCCACGTTGACAAACCCAAGAAGTGCGATCTGGTCCCGGGTAGCCAAGGCTTCCAAGTCCACCAAACCCTTCGCCTTGACATAGTCGAGCAGCCAGTTCTTCAGGTCGACATCACCACTTGTCAGCTGTGAGTAGTTCATGTATGTGTTCGGCATACGCCACTCTGACAGAAGGGTGGCAAGCTCGTTATTAATCCTCTCAGTTCGCATATCGCGCACGAAGACGAACTATCTCTTCCACCTCGCCACCTTATTTCTAATATTGGTGAATATCATCATCTTCTCTCTTCCCGAGATGTAGTACCATCTCGTCCCACTGGTGGACGAGCACAAACGGCACAGGAAGAGCGACCTAAAGACCACCGCCTTGGCAGGCATCCCTAGCCTTTCGCATAACAGCATAAAGCCTATGATGAACTTTATGCTGTTGGGAGTAAGTTGCGAAAGGGCCAGCTCGCACTCTGCCAGGACATCAAAAATTAGTTCGGGCAGAGGAAAACATAGATCGGCGTCAAAATGGTCTACGTACACTAGCACCCAGCCCGTCCTCGACACTGAGCACGCCCTTTCATTTGGTGTCCCAGCTCGGATCAAGATGGTTCTGGGGATCTGGAATCGCCTCACCATTTGCTCTAGTTTCTTATACCCCTTCACCGTGGCCGCCCCATCTGCAACTTCGTGGTGCAGAGCCACCCTGAACCTAAATCCGGCCGGTAGGGTTTTGGGGGCTTTATGGAGGTTGTCCAGTCTTCCACTAAGAACCTTGCTCTCCCACCCCTCAAACACTACCACCTCCGTTGCTGCACTCATCGTTGGTGCACTGCAACCAACCTCCTCAACACCCTATGTTTCACTGGATGTCTCTTCCATGCGTTAATCGTTGGAGGTGGAAGGCTAGTGGTCCGCAGAACCACCGCCTGCGCTCGAACTAGCACTGCTCTCCGACGTAGCGGTTCTGGGCGAGTCTTGTAACTCCGGCAGCACTATCATGGCAATCGGCTCCGCTGAGATCACATCAACCCCTTCGTCTTCACCTTGGTTATCCCGGAACTCTTGTGCATCGTGGAAAGAAGCCATTTTTACCTGAGTAGTTGAAGTTGAATGTGCTTTCACTGGAAGTTTTGAAAAATGGCCGGGAGTATCTCTGCAACCTTCTCTGAAAAACGTACGAATGTGTTGTGCAATGAAATGAAAAAATGACAAAGTGTTTGTTTTGTTTTGGGCGTTCATATGGTGCTCCGTAAACACCGTACGCGTGTTTACGGCCCCCCAGTTAAACGTGTCCACGTGGCAACCATTTATGATTAAAAGCCCAAAATACACCGTCTGCAGCTGTCACATCCCCTTAAATGTTGAGCCAATATTTATTGCGGGGAGGCAAAAGGGTATCTGTCAAAAGCAGAAGAATACCAAATGCCCTAAGCAAATCTCCTCAGAGATTCGCCACAATTGTTGAAAAATTTGAAGGATCAGATCGCGACAAACTTCAATGATCAGCTCGTAATAAATTCGAGACCTAAGCAAGTCTCCTCAAAGATTCGCCACAATCCAAAATTTGAAAATCTCGAGAAATATGCTCGTAACAAATCCGCGATCTCCTCACAGATCTGCCATAATCCAAAATTCAAAAATCTCGAGAAATCAGCTCATTTCTAATCCGAGATCTCTTCAGAGATTCCCAACTTGACACGTCTTTAGAGGCCAGGTCATCACAAATCTTAGGTTCACCTTGGTTGTGAACATCGAATATTAAATTGTAACCAACTTCCTCAGATTTGCTCTGCATCCCAGAGGTCTATATTGAAATAGCGAGGGAGGTCGCTCATTTCAGCCCGTCTTGGGTGGTTGGTTCAGCTCGTCTGCTGTCTGGTCGCCTTTGCTCCCTGCTGAAAGTCTATTATACAAGGTCGCCCTTGTGCGCCTACTCGGCTCGTCGATTAGCACCGAGCTCGACTGGTTTTAACACTAGCTCCTCATGCCTGCTCGGCATGAAGCCAGCATACACTTGCACATCTGGCCAGGCACGATGTCTACAAGTTGCTTAAATCGGCCGTGTACGAGGTCGTTCATGAACATAAAACATCACTTCTCATCTTTAGGGCCAAACACCGTGCTAACAAGATTCTCCATCCAGTTCGTTAACCGAACGCTGAGGGGAGAGTACTATTGGGATTAAGCCCAATGCCTACTTTGGGCCACATATAGCAGGCCCAACTATGTACACACAGGCCCAAGAGGAAGAGACATACCCACGTGAGCAGCACCACTTGGGCCAATGAGTTACTTACATGTATTGGTGCATGTCAGCATTTGGGGCTATAAATACCCCCCAACTACCAACAATGAAGGTAATTAATCTCTATTCCTTGAGAGCATCTCTCTCTAGAATATCGAGTATTGCTGACTTGAGCGTTGGAGTGTTTTTCCCGATGAAACATCCTCGGGATTTTCAGGTGCATAAGCAGCTGAGGACTTCAACAATGTTGGACTACGAAGCTGCCCAAACAATACCCATAAATGAAGTTCCAATGACCAATAGCTTCTTGCAAGTGAGCATGAAATTGTGAGACCCAGATTCATAACTCATGGAATCAATATCTTAATTAAAACTATGACAATTCCCAATAAAAATGAAAAGGTACAACCGTGCAAGCATACTCTTTTCCTATTAGGACGACATAGTTATTTAATATACCATTAGGTGATGTTTATAGCTCTTCTATCTTTGTATCATTTGCTAAATTTATTGATTGAGCAGGTACACCTCGACTACCTTGAAGCTGGTGCAGATATTGTTATCACTGCATCATACCAGGTATTGTCATATTGATAATGACCTCTTTTCCTCCCTTGTTCCTCCCTCCCTGTCTAATACAGGTCTACAAATTGTGCAGGCCACTATTCAAGGGTTTGAAGAAAGGCTTCTCAAGAGAAGAGAGTGAAGCAATGCTTAGAAAAAGTGTAGAAATTGCTTGCGATGCACGGGATGTTTATACTGAAAATTGTAGTAAAAGTTCCTGTGAAGGGGCAGGAGACGGTGAGATTCTAAAGAATCGTCCAATTCTTGTCGCGACATCTGTGGGTAGCTATGGAGCTTATTTGGCTGATGGATCCGAGTACAGGTGCATAAACCCTCTACAATAAGGTTGTTGACTTATGCAGTTTTTATGGATTATTTTGGGGCATGTATCATGTTCTATAGTCTCTATGTTATCTACTGCAGTTTTGACTTTTACAAACCATCATTTGAATTTAGAGTTACATATAGCATATCTTCCTAATTTCTCTGTGATTTATTTTCCTCTGTACCAGTGGAAACTATGGTGAGGCAATCACGGTAGAAGTTTTGAAAGATTTTCATCGCAGGAGGATCCAGGTCCTGCCAGAATCAGGTGCTGACCTCATAGCATTTGAAACAGTTCCAAACAAGATAGAAGCTCAGGTATTCACAAGATTTTTTGTTGATTTCTTGATTCTCCTTCATTTTTTTCTTCCCTATCCAACACTCAAAGTTAGAATGATGTTTTTCATATGTTTTAGGTTGGTTCCTGCATGGCCTACTAATATCCTTACTCTTTATTGAGGTTTCCACTTATTGGTTGAATGCTCAAATTTCTTCTTTTTCTTTCTTCCCTTCTAAAAAAAGTTGAGATCAACAATCTCTGATGCAGGCCTAAGTTGCACTATCATCTTTCAAATAGCATCATCATATGCATTTCCAATAGATTCCCCTAATTGTCAATAAGGTTCCTAATTGTTTGCTTGGAAATAAGTGAAAGATCTAATTTCGTATCAACCTTGGATGCTAGGAACTGAAGCCACATTGTACTTCGGGAGGTTTTTTAACTGAAGATAGCTTTATTCTTGATCCAAGTATTAGCTTCTCTGTTAATCTTTGTGTCTTTATGCAGGCGTATGCAGAACACTTAGAGGAAGAGGACATAAAGATTCCTACTTGGTTTTCTTTCAATTCAAAAGATGGTGTCAATGTAGTTAGTGGTGATTCTCTGCTTGATTGTGCATCCATTGCTGAATCATGCAAGAAAGTAGTTGCTGTTGGAATCAATTGCACACCTCCTCGGTTTATCCTAGGATTGATTTTAGCTATTAAGAAGGTTCAGTATTGTATTTTTCTTCTTTAATTAATTATCATAATATCATTCTAGATTGTATGATCTTTGTTAAGTTTCCTACTTTCTTCTTATACTATATTTTCATTTTAAGGTAGCCTGCCGTAGTTTAAAACTTGGACAGAAAACACCAAAAAAAAAAAAAAAAGAGATTTGGAAAGAAAATTTTGCTGTGCTATATGCAAAAGTTTTGTTTAGAAATAAATTATGCTGTAACCTTCTGCTCTTTTTTTAATACACTTGCAAGCTCAAAAGGCAATGTTGGGCCTTATACCTCTTCCTCCTAAACTAAGGATAAATGCAAGGTGAGGATTTTTATGATTTTACTATTACTGACAGGCTTTTGATGATTTAGTAAAGATTGATGTTGATACATACATTCTATTTCTGTGAAGCTTATTGGGGAACCATAAGGGGGCAAGATACAGTGAATCTTGTGTGTATACTATTTCAGCAATGAAAGAAATATAAATGTTTTTCAATCTCTCTAGTTTTTTGAGAAAACTGGTGTTGGTTAGAAGTAAGTTTAAGAGTTACCTTTAGTTGGTCATGCTGTTACATGGTAGAAAACTTACTTTGGTTAATAATGATTTTCTTTAGGTCACTGCCAAAGCAATAGTTATATATCCCAACAGTGGTGAGAGATATGATGCTGATCAAAAAGAGTGGGTGGTAAGTTTATCCTGTTCATGTTCTTCACTTCACTGCCAAACCTATGGTTATCTTTTTGTATCATAAATTTTTATGTGTTCTAAGTTCTAACAAACATCTGTTTTGTTTGGATCTGAGGAGTGAGAGAATGATGAGATGGGAAGTAAATTTCAATAAATTGAAACAGGAAGCTGTTTGTTTAAAAAAATGAATGGTTTTCCTTCTATTATTTCTAAGGTTTGAATGAGGTGTTCAGAGTTTATCTTTGTGTCCTATTTTCCAAACAAGCAAGACTAAACCACTGTAATTGTTGTTGCTTCAGGAGAATACTGGGGTCTCAGATGATGATTTTGTCTCTTATGTGAACAACTGGTGCG